CCACAAAAAACAAAAAGGGTCATTGTGCCTCCCACTCTCCCCATCCCCGCCAGACATGGCAGGGGAAGAATGTCCCATGCAGCCTTCCATCCAAGAAAAACAGAAAATACTGGACATTTTACATGTCTGGTATTTTCTGTGTTTTTTTTTTAACTGGACAGAGGCCGCAAATACCGGACTGTCCGGAACAATACCAGATACCTGGCAACCCTAGTAGCATCAGCGCTGGCTCCTTTTTGGGGGTGGGGTGGGGGAAACGAGAGGAGGGCTAGAACACCTTGCGATTGACTGGTCATGCCCACCAGCGGATCGCAATCCAAGGCTCTAGATTCTTTAATTTTCACTCCAACTCATCTGATGAAGTGGAGTTTACCGAAGAAAGCTCATGATACAAAGATATTTGTTAATCTCTAAGGCAGGACTACTCAACACGTGGCCCGCGGCCTGTTTGTGGCTCACGGTGCAGTTTGGGTTTACGTGGGGTTCAACACACGGCCCGCGGGTGGGATCCTTTGAACATGGCCTCCACTGGGAACATGGTCCACAATGACAAGGCGTCGCCCATGCGGGGTGAGCACTGAAAGATACAAGTGGACGGGCTTGCTGGAATAGACGGGTAAACAGAGGGTTGAGGTTCTGATCTCTGGCATCTCTCCACAATTTTCAGAGATCCAAGGTCTAAATCAGGGGTCAGCAACCTACTGCACACATGCCATCAGTGGCACAGGAGCCGATTTTTACTGGCACAGAGGTGGGAGCTCAATCCCGCCCCTGCCCAGCACAGGCAGGGAGTTCAGCTGATTGGCGGGGTGTTGTCAAGTGGCTGATAAAGGGAGCAGCAAGATGAAGAGATGTTAATGGCTTAGATTTGAGAACACCTAAAGAGACAAATAGGTGTCTAATGGGAACTGAATTTATTTTCATTTGACTTTTTAATAGAGATTTAGACAGCTGGGGTTTTCTGGAGTGCAAAGTAGCTTAGGCATAGATCTGCCTCTTCAGGCACCCAAATACCTCTCTATATCTGGCTCTTGATCTTAAAAAAGCTCAAGGCTCTGATGGGAACTGTCAACAAAAGCATAACTCATGATTTTTCCGTTACCAGAACTGGCTGAAATATGATGACCTATTTTCACAGAGGGGGGGAAACGAAGTATTAACTTACAAACTCGTTTTAATTTCAAGTATGCCAAATGGACCAATTTTTCAAAATGTCCTACATCTTTTTTATTTCCCTCAAACAAAGAAGTTAGTGAGATTTTTTCTTTACAAAAAGCCCCTCCAAAAACTGGTACTAGCTAATTATAAAATACTTTGAAGTTTGAGTTGGTGAAAAGGCATGACTTTTTTTTTTTAAATCAGAAGAGGAACCATTTTGACAATTTGGGATAAGACAGTTTTGTTTTAGAAAATAGTCCTTTCCTGCTCCCTAAAAGCTTTAAAAATTTCAACCAGCTCAGTGTTACATTCAGACACTCGGATGCATCTTCAGCTTCTCATAGTCCTACCAGGAGGCGTGTGTGCGCCACACCTTACAGCAGCAATTTTTTAACTATAGTGCAGACCTACCATCAGCGCACTAGCTAAGCTAAAGGTCATATGTGTGTCTCCTTGAGCTGTAACTTACACCTCTAGTTGTAGTGTACATGTACTCTTGGGGGCTTACCTGACCTCACTCAAGAAGTCTGTGATAGAGCCAAGAATTAAGCCTGTGTATCCCCACGTAAGAAAGAAAAAGATTAACAATTTTTTTGGAGTGATTCGGCTATCTAAAACTCTGATCTTAATGATCTTTTTAAAATCCTGTGTTACTAAAATGGTAAGATCTGCATCTTTATTTATTAATGAAGCTGCTGTAAGTAGGACTATTACTGACTTTAAAAAGTATCAACGGCATGCAGACCCGTAAATAGAAATAAGTTAAATCTCGGCGCACTACTTCTGAACGTTTGCTGACCCCTGCTCTAAACTTTGCCCCTAGCTCCAATATGTGACATCATGCATTATCTCCGTAGTGGAGGTACCAGGCCCCTTGGTGCCTTAAAGCATCAGTACTTTCCTTTGCTAATTCAGAAACGATGGCATCAAGTTTTCCAAACTGACTTGTGATTGTGGACACCTTAATTTATGGGTGAGCACCTTGAAAGGAGCCCGATTCTCTGTGAACTCAAGTTACAAGGTCCCAAGTCACAATGTGTGAAGGGAGCCACAAAACAAGATACCCAGAAAATGTAACACTTTTCTTAATTAAAAACAAACTGGAACAGTGGCAGAATGCAAAGGGGACAGTAGACAGAAAAGGGGCATGTACATATCATAGGTCCCCATGAGGAAAACTAGCTAACACACTGTCTGTAGCAACTTGTATAGGCAAAGTAATGTCAGATTTTCTATCAGGGTAGCCAAACTGGAGCCCATGAGCCATATGCAGCTCACATTAATACAAAGATTCAACCCACAGAGACAAAAGCTCCAGCATCTGATGCTCCGGGCTGACCAGAGCAGGCTCCCCTGCATAAGATCAGGGCCTAGAAAATTAGATCATTTTAATTGCATTAGTCAGGAGTTGGAAAAATCCACACCTCTAAGTGACATTAAGCTAACCCCAAGTCCTTATGTAGACAACAGTAGGTCGAAGGAAATACCTTCCATTAATCTACCACCACCTTGCAGGTGTCTACATGCAGTAATGCAGCTGTGCCATTGACACATTTTATGTCTAGGCATGCAAATAAGTGTGGCATTGTGGGATGTACAATCCATTTGCACACTGAAGTTAAGGGTACTTGGCAGCTGGCGCCTTTTCACCAAAATCAGGTGTTGCCATAGGCTCGTTCTCAACAGCACACACTGGCAAAGTTTGGAAAATCCTTACATGACAACAATCCTTACAAGCCAGCAATCACCTACCTGGTTTTGATCATTGTAGTCACACTCCCTAACCGCCACTAGTCCTCCTTTCTGACTTGGGTGGCCCTGGGCAACCAGACATTTGTTGGTTTGAAGGTGATACAGCTGTGAAAGTAAACAATGACAGCTTAATATATACCATCATTAAAAGGCAAGTACCAGAAACATTTGGCAAGTCTTCTAACAATCTATTTCCTAGAACTCATGAAGTGTTGACAAAGAAAAAACCCTCCTCCTTTTTCACATACGGGGCATTCTGCTTTTTAAATTAATGTTTTAGTATAACCATGTGTAAAGCAATTTTATTTTATTTGCAAGATACAACATGTTTCTCCCCCTGTGATTTGGAAACAATGCGCACATAAAACAGAATTTTGTCCTATTTAATTCAATTATTCCCTATCAATTCCACCTTCTCTCTGAATGGCAGAAGTCTCACACGTGCTCTCAGGGCCAGGATAGGTCATGGGTTTTCTTTCTAGAATTCATAGCAATTACAAAAATCAAAACGCTTTTGGCCCCATCCCCTACCACCTTCCATTTTGGAGTTACAATGAAAGTGACTTTGTGCCACCTGATTTCCAAAAACTTCCCCTATTTTCAGATGAGCTCCCAACCCAGTTTGGATGAACTCATTGTTAACATGAAACAAATAACCTGGAGGGTTGTTGGGTTTTTTTAGGGGGAGGGAGGCAAGACTGGGACCAGACACTTAACACATGGCTGCTTATTGAAGAAAGCCTACTACCAAGATGAATTATGAAGCTCCTACTAGCAGTTCAGCTGCTTTCCTGGTCTGACCAGACCATCTTCCCACTTATCCCTGAATTCTGATGCTGGTCATTTGGTCACCCATCCCATGAAGTAACTCAGCATGCTCAAAGGCTTCTAATCTGATCTGAAATTATTTGGCTTCAGTATGATCAATCACCAAAAAAAACCTTATCTCCATTCTGGAACTTAATATAAAATAACTTTCACACCCTTGGGACTGTGAGCCATCCTGAAAAATGAGCCCATTTTGCCTTAGATAAATGCAAGCAGTTACTTTAGTTTTTGTCTTATTACTAGGCTACTCTTGGGGGAAAATATCAATATTTTATTATTCCTTAGATTTATAAAACCAAATAGGCATTGCTCTGAATACGCTATACACCTAAAACAGATATATAAATCCAGAAAGAAACAGCAACTCTATGGCAGGATACTAAATAACTGGGCAGCACAATAACAGACTAAATTCCATTTTTCTCTGAGCATCACCCCGAGCAATATTTGCCTCTTCAGATGCCCTGCCTTGCAGTATAACTGGCTGTCCCTTTGCTGATTCGCACTACGTATATCAAACAGATGACATGCTTTAGAATGAGAGTATTCTAAGTGATATTCTCTATCAAAGATTTTAGGGAAGATCAAATTTTGAATGTTAATTACTCACCACTAAAGCCATGTCATTTATGCAAGGCTAAACTGGTGGGATGTGGAGTAACTTATTCTGAAACCCTTAGAGGTCTGTAAAGGGGATGTAAAAGCGTAGCTTATACAGAAGGAGCATCACAGGTAGCAAGCAGGAGCCAGTATGCATTAGGGATATAAGATACTGGTTATTTTAGTAATTGTGTAGCAAATAATTTTTAGCGGTTACTAAAATGTTCCCTCCGGAGGCAGGGCCAGCAGTCAGTGCTTTCCCAACTCTCAGGGTGCACCCTGCCACCTCGTGCTGTTGCCTCTGTACCAGCTACTCTTAGGGTTGCCAGATGGTTTCAACAAAAATACCGGACATACTTGACATTACATCACAATCTACTTTACATCTTATTTAGAAAATACCGGACATTTATATTTTCTCGTTTATATTTTCTCAATTTGTTTCCCGAACAGAAAGCTCAAATACTGGACTGTCTGGTTCAAAACCGGACACCTGGCAACCCTAGCTACACTTTTACATATGTATCAGAGGCAGCAATGCAGGGTGGCAAGCTGAGCCAGCCTGAGAGGGGAAGCCGTTTAAATAGAGGCAGCAGTGTGGGGCGGCAGCAGCTCCTATCAGCAGGGGGGAAGGTAGGGGCTGTGGACAGAAGCTGCTCCAGCATCCTGCCTGACCCCCCCATCCTAGTGCAGTTGCCTCTGACACCGAGGCAGCAGCACAGGGTGGGGGCAGGCGAGAGCTGGTGCTCTGACAGAGCCAACTTAAAATCTACCGCCCCAGAGAAGCAGCAGCACGTGGGGGCAGGTGGTTCTGTGGGAGCCAATACGTGTGGGGAGCTGGCTTGAAAGCTTCCGTACTGTACCCTCTGCAAAGGCCCTGGGCCTGGAACCTGTTCCTGTTCACCGATGGCTATATAACCTTTGTCATTTCCAAGACAAACACTAACTCACTATGGTTTATCGCCAAAGCACCTGCTGTGAAAACCATTTATTGTGCAGACTGTACCTCCCTTAACAGGGACAACCTGATCCAGTAACATCCATTGTCCAGCATGGACAATGAACGTTGCTGGACCACAGAACCCAGGAAGAGGGAAGCCTGGCAGTGGGGCGGGAGCTCTGTAAGGGGCACCAGTGACTAAGCTGGGAGCCCAGAGTATGTGTAGGGGAGGGGAGATGGACGGCATAGTGCGGAGTTCTGGCCCCAGCAGAGCTCCCTGACCCCAGAAGCTGGGGAGCTCTAGCTTGGCCGCAGCTGTGGACCTCAGGCTCCAGCCAGAGAGCTCTGGCCCCGGCTACGGCGTCCCGGCTGTGTTCTGGCCCCAGCAGCCAGGGAGCTCCAGCCCCAGTCCCAGCGGCGAGCTCCGTCCCCAGCCATGGAGCCAGGCAGCTGTGGAGCTCTGTCCTAGCTGTGCAGCTCTGGCCGTGGCGCTCCAGCCCCAGAAGCAGCAGGGCCAGGGAGAGCCCCAAGGGGGACTGAGGCAGCAGCTGGGACAGGCAACACGGCCACAAGGGAAGGGACCTTCCCTAATCCAGCAAATCCCCTTGTTTGGGACCAGTCAGGGGTGCCAAACTAGCGAGGTCCAATCTGTACTTAAATCTATGTGCAGTTTTTATAATAAATTTCAAAACTATCTAAAAAAGAATCCAAGGATTGTCTAAAGAAGTTGAACAATGTCTTACCCTTCCACGCTGCAGTATTTTTGGTCGTTTTTGCCCTCTGTTAATAAAAACTGGTTGCTGAACTTTGGCATTGGGCCCAGATATTTGCATCTCTGGGTAGATATTATCTAGATACCACTTAAATGACCTGCAGTTCAGTTTTTTTCTCAACTCCACACGGTCAGTAATATTTCCATAATTCCTGGCCCTTAATTCAGGTCTTAGGGCAAAATATTGTTCCTACATAGACAAGAAATAGGAGAGAATACGAGAACTATTTACATTACTTCTCATACTAGTTTTAAATGGTGATTAAGCTAATGCATTGAACTACTTACCCGTTCCATTTAATCACTGACTTAAGTATTAATTCTTCTCTGAAAACTGGCATTCCATAATGTCATTTTAGAATCAATGATTATTGTGCTTCTATGATTTCCACAACAAATTTGTTCGGTTTACAACTCAAAAAGTGTTTTTCTAACTGCCAGACATGCAAGTTTAGGGCTTGTTCTTGCATGTGAATGTGGCTAGTCTCACTGACTTCAAAAGGACGACTCATGTGATTGAAGCTATTCACGTCCACATACATTTGCAAGACCAGGCCTTTAATCTGGGTTCTTGGAGTCAAGCTGGGTTTTTTCCTTATCCTACCTCATTCCTAGTCATTAAGATTCTAGAGCAGTGTTCCCTGTAAGCTGTGCACTTATGCAGATGCTCAGGAGAGATTCAAATGCCACCCAGCTGATTAGCAGAATGTACCCCCACAGCTAGATTTGTAGTTTCTACTAGTAGTGAACATTTGCACATGCCTCAGTGCACATAAACATGTATTCTGCACTTGGATGGAAAAGATTAGAAGGAACATTGTTCTAGAGGCTAATTATGCCCAAAGTTATACCTGTTCAACCCTAATAGAGCTGTCATTAGAGCTAATTAGATCACACAAATATCATCATGTATAATATGGCCTGTAGAATCTTTATTACTGGTGATGTTCAAAAAAAAAATCCCCATGGAGAGCCTCACATCCTAGACTGAATTTGCAGGGGAGACAGAAAAGACACTGTTTATGGACTAAGCTAATTTCATCTCCATTCTTTAGGATACAATAAGTATGAAAACCTGACACTTCTCTGGGTAGATCTACATTTTAATGTTTGAAACTTGCTGGCGATAATGACGTTCTACTACTATTTTTAATCTTCCAGTCTTCTGTTCAACACTAATTAAAATTATCCATCATTACTGAGATACTTGTTGATTCTGAAGATGACTGCAAGGTGAACATTACTAATTTTTGTAGCAGACACAAAGAAGCTGTAAGAGCAACGCTAATACAATCTAACACAAGGCATATCATGTATATAGTGAAATGGAATCCAGGGCAATGCTACAGTGAATTAGGCAAGACTTTTCTGTATGAAACATAATTCTGTGTATTACTGTATCTGTTACTCTTTTTCAATAAAAGTATTAATGAAGTGGGATATTCAGTATCCTTAAAAATAACTATGGTAACCATATGTTTAAAAGTAACTATGGTATCTTGCTTTTTTTTGTATTACATATTTGACCTTATATTGCATATACACAATTTACAATTATTCATGAAAGTAAGTATTAAAATGCAAATTTTATTTCACTTTTCCCTCTCTATCATATTAGTATTTTTAAATGCTGTTGTACAGTGCTGAATCAAACAGGAAAACAAACCATCTCTACTTATCTTTCTGCATCTCTTGTGTATCATTCATCCCACTACAGCATCAGTCAATATCCCTGTCTTGGCCCCAAACATGTTTATTATACATACTAGCCAATAGCCCACCATAGAATGGATTTTTTGGGTCTCTCTCCCCCTCTCCCCCACCTCCTCGTCCTCCTGCCTCCCCGCCCCAACTCTCCTCCACCTCCTACCTCTCTCTCTCCGTCCTACCGCTCACTCTCTCTTTCTCTTCACCTCCCCCCCCAGCCGTGTTCGTCACTGCCTCGCCCCCTTCCCCTCCCGCCATGGCGCTCGGCTGAGTGCTGCGCCGCTCGGCCAGGCCGCCGCGGGGGAGCCCAAATGGCCACTTGTGCTACTTGCTCCCCCACGGCGGCTCAGCCAAGCAGCGCAGCACTCGCGCCACGGCAGGAGGGGAAGAGGGGTGGGGTGGTGACATACACAGCCAGGGGGCGGAGCTGTGTACGTCACCGCCCTGCCCCCCTTTCCCTCCCGCCATGGCGCTCGAGTGAGTTCTGCACCGCTCAGCTGGGCCGCAGCAGTGGAACAAGCGGCGGCAAGCGGCCGTTTGGAGTCTGCGCTCCCCATACAGAACTCAGCTGAGTGCCACGGCGGGAGGCAAGAGCGCCCCCCGCCCCCCCAGAGGCGAGTCTGTAACGCTACAGCGTTACAGACTCACAGACATTGGGCTACTATATATAAGATAAGTATGGAAATATCTTCAGACATGCTTTCCACCCCTAAATCTGTTGTAACAAAAATGTCCTGGCAGCTTTCAGAGAAGAACAGATAAACCATGAGAACTCCACAGTTGATACAAGGAAAAAAGGCACAGAACTGAGGTAGACTACTTAATCAGTAAGCGAAGACCTTTTGGGACTGCAAATGGGAATGGCTGGTATCCTTGGTGCCTAATGCTGACCTCAGAGGCCAAAAGGACATATAGAACTTGGGAATTTTTGGAGTCTCACACACTAAGAAGCAGAGTCATACAAGTAAGAATTGTGCACAGATGGTATCTCATTAGAGCAAGGAAGGTATGTGTCAAACTGGTCATTGTTGGAACAATTCAATTAATATTTATAGTTCAAACTCTGTAATTGTGTCTTACCTTATATTCATCCATCCACACATGTGCCAGGCGTAGAGAGTTATGTGCCATCGTATCCTTCCCGCCTGGTGAGCCATAAGGGCGCCTTTTACGGAATATGTGTCCTACCCTGGAGCAAGGGATGATTAGAAGTCTACCCCCACACATCCAAATCTGTCCACAAGAAAGCAGAAGACATCTCACTATAGAATACAAAAGGTTCAACACTTTTTCTTTTTATTATTAACGAGTATAGTTACGATAGAACTGTGTGTGATTGGTGTTCAGCTTTTAAAGGTTCATCTCGGAGTTAAATCAAACCCAGTTTTCTATAGGTGGAAAAAGGCAAGGCTTTATTCTTTGAAAAGGGCAATTTTCATACCAATTTCCCTAGATCACCTACCTGCAACTTTATAGGCTTTCAAAATAAAATGTTGCAAGTGCTTTTTAAAGCTAAAAACAAAGATTCTCTCTTACTCTCCTTTCCATTGGAAATAGCCACCGTGTTTTTCAAACTTTCAGTAGTTTTCAGACAAAAGAACAAAACATAGAATATTTCTATAGAAAAGCACAAGTTTCAGAAAGTTATAGGTGTCAATGCCTGTTAAGCTGTGTCTGCAGTGCTGGGTTAAGTACAAAGGTCTACCCCAGCCAGTGTGGACACTGTTATACTGGCATAAAAGTGCTTTATAACAATACAGCTATTCCCATATAGGTCCTGACCTTTATACCAGCATTACTGTGTATACACTAGGACTTGTGCAAATATAGCTATACATTGGTTATAAACAAAAAAAAAACCCCACACCTCTGACAGTCTTTGTAACCTTGAAGTGAATCCCAGGCATTAGGACACATAATTAACCTTCATTTCAACATCCCTACTCCTCCTGCTACAGTACACAGTAACCATACAACAGGCCATCATCCTGATTAGCCAATCAATCTTCTGTCCATTTCAGAATATCCTCAAACTTAGCAAGAACATTTTTTTACTCTACCTTAATATAACCAACTCTGTTAAGCAAACACTCAAGTCCTGTAAGTGGTTGATTAAGGCAAGTTTCCCATATGTGCTTATGCGGACACATGCATTAGTTACATATATGGATACCCAAAAAGGGTTATATGTCAAAATGTTTGCCCTACTTGATCTTTCTGGAAGTAAAATTTGCGGATTTTAAGGCCAGAAAAGATCACATTGATTATTAGTCTGACCTATGTAACAGGCCAACCAATAATTCCTGCATTAAGCCCATAACTTCTGCTGAAGCTAGAACATTTTAGAAAGATATCCGAGTTTGCCACTCTGAATTTTTCCCTAACTCCAGCTTCTAGCTGCTGGATTTTGTTATGTGTTTGTCTGCTAAACTAAAGAGCTCTTGACTCTCAGAAATCTTCTCCCTAAATAGGTACTTACAGATTCAAGTCACCTCTTCACCTCCCCTTTGGAAGTTTCTCACTGGAAAGCAGATTTTCCAGGCCCTGCTTTCTTCTAACAACACTACTCTGAACCCTTTCCAATTATCATCCTGATTCTAAAACTATGAATGCCATACTTGACACAGTATTCCAGTAATGATTTTATCAATGCTGTACAGAGATAACCACCTCCCTCCTTCTACTCATTATGCTTCTTCTTATAAATCCAAGAATTGAGTTAGGCCTGTAGCCACGGTATCACAATATGAGCCTCAATTAGGCTGGTTTTCCACCACAACCCCAAATTTGTTTTCAAAGACACTGATTTCTAGCATTCATCTCCACATTCTGTTGATATGACCTAATTTCTGTGTCCCTGTCATGAGTCCATTTGCAAACAGATTTGTTGAAGTATTTTTATTTTGTACAGGATTTCAGCTATTTAAATCTGAAATTTCACAGTGTTGTAATTGTAAGGGTTCTAACACCAAAAAAAACATTGACACCCTTTCTTCTGTGCTGCTGATAGTAAAAATGCTGCCTTCTGAGCTGGGCAATTGGAGAGCAGCAGCAGCTGCTGCTTAGGAGCTGAGCGTTGAAGGCAGAGCCGTCACCAGCACAGAAAGAAGGATGGCATGGTATAGAACTGTTACCCTTATTCTGCACTACTGCCTGCAGATCTGGGCCCTCAGTCAGCAGCTATCCCTCGCCAGCCACCCAGCTCCTGAGGCATCAGCACAGAGCTAAGGGTGGCATGGTATGGCATTGCCACCCTTAATTCTGTGCTGCTACTGGCAGGGCGCTGCCCTCAAACCTGAGCAACTGGCCAACAGATACAGCTCTTCAACCACCCAGCTCAGAAGGCAGTGCAGAAATAAGGATGGCTATTACTACAACCCCCCCTTAAATAACATTGTGGCAGACCCCTCCCCCCCACCTTCTTTTTGGTTCAGGACCCCCAGTTTGTGATACCTTCTTCATGGCCGTGAATTTAAACCCAAAAGGTACATACTACTAGTTTTTAAAAAGTTAAAAGCATTTTTTTTATCTCTATCCTGTAAGCAAAGCAGAAAATGTAAAACAAATCTAGTGAACCAACAGCAGTAGAACCTGCTGATAGTAACTTTCTGCCTATCTTTCTTCAACAGCTCTGACACTAACCTTGTGTGTATGATCCCTAATTTGTACAGTACCTGTCTAAATTGTGTTTCAAGTTCCTCTGAGGTTTCCAGCTATAAATCTATATAAATATTATGCAATTAAACCTGTTTATATTAAAAGGGCAACTCGCAGCTTCAAGTCTTGTCAATTTCATAAACTGAGTTAAAAGCTGTTTCATGCAGCACATCTGCCCATGTCTCCTGCCAAATCTGTCATTTTACAAATCATTCTCTTGCGCCTCTCCGCATTGCTGTGTGAAAGACCCAGACAAAAAGGGAAACTGTAGAAGTGGCTAAAGATAAGCGCTGTCAAACACTATAGAATAAAAGTCAAAAGAGAGAACTTTTCCCCTCTTTGATCTTCCAGGCAAATTAATTGTAACAATAGTGGATCAAAAATGTTAGTATTATTTTGTAAACTGAAAGCATGCTTTGAAAGGGGAATGAAGGCCCCTTTCATGAATGAAGAGCATCAATATGCAAATAGCAATTCCAGTACTAATTAGTCTCTGCTTTGGGAAAGGAACAAGTAGAGCATCTATTGTAATACAAAACACATTGTTACCCGAAATGATATTTCCAAATTTTCTCCTCCCCAGATGTCCATGCCACTATCATACTGTCCGAGTTCATTAAAGTATTCTCTATCCATAGCAAACAAACCTCCTGCCATAGTAGGGGACCTAAAAGAGAAAAAGTTCAAAATAAAGTTCCCATTGTCTAAATACTTGTTTTAATAAAAAATAGCTAGTCTAGTTTAGTCATCAATTCCCAGACCTACTACTGGAGACAGATGGTTGAAATCCATTGACTACAACTGCAGGATTGATGTGGTCAGATCAGGTTTCAAAAGATCTTATAATTGGTTTTTCAAGGAAAGGATATGAATACATTCCTTAAACTGTCACTGTTCCATCATGTATAACTGTATAACATACATGTATTTGATGTATACCTTTAAATACAACTAAGTGAACGTGAGCAAGGTACCTTTAGTTTATACTCACAGCACCACACGGGGGAGTTACAGCACCGCATACTAGTGCACAATGCAATCCACACACCCACAGTCCAAAATGCAGGGCTATCATTTAGACAAGCCCTGTTTTCCTTCAAACACAAATAGCTTGCTACAAACCAAACAAATTAGTCTTCTGCAATGACATCACTAGCATAAGTGTACCTGCTTAGAATCCAGCCAAGTTATATTTTTGTCTCTTTTCTGACACAGTACCTACATTTTTTGGTGGATTTATTATATTGCTCTTGATCTAAAATGTATGGATGTACTTGTCCATAATACATACAAGTGTACAGTGATATAAATACAAATCAAAATGAATGTGTATTTCTCCCTCATGAATAAAGGGCTAATATAGGCTGATCCTAACCTGTCAGAGGAAAAATCATACATTCCAGCATACATTCTACTTTCTGGTGTTACCTGAAATAAGTAATAAATCCCCTTCTAGGTGAAACCAGGATCACAGCTGAAGTATACAATCCAGTAAACCTAATGGTGTGTAATTAAGTTGATCTTGTCTCTCAAATGGAATTTAAAATCAGAAGTACAGATGTTTCATAATTAATAAAAATCAGTTGTCCTCCAATTGTTTATAACTTTCTACAGTTGAGTATTTGTTCTCTCTGGAGGTTTTCCAGTTCTTTTGTCCCTTCTATGAAGTTTCTCTTGTGTAGCATTTTTACTGTCAATATATTTTGTAAATATCTGTACTTTAATTACTATTCTACAATCTACATCCTAAACTGCTCCAGGTATGGCCAATACCTCCTGCTTATAAGCAGGAAATCCCTGTTGTTGCTCTGGCAAAGTGTAAGGTGTGGGGGGAGAAGGGGGAGGAAGCAGTCCATGCGGACATGCCACTGACAGTGGCTAGACAGGTATTTTTACAATCCTAGTCAGTAGAAATGTAATAAAAATGTCAAGGGTAAGCAGCCCTAAGACTGGATTAACTTGTTTGTTCTGACAGGTCTTCTGCTGTAGGTTTTGTCCCTCTAACACCTGGATAGAGAAGAATCTAGTACAATTGATTATGAAGGTTTCTAAATAGATGACAACTCAAAAAGCTTTCTATCAGGTGGAAAGTTATATTCAGAGATTTTTAAAAAACAAACTTCCAGAAATACTGCTCTCGCATTGCTTAAGAGTCTCTAACAAGGAAAGTCATTTTCAATCTCAGGAAATTTAGTCATCTTAGATGACAGGACTCCATTTAAGTACCAATGCTTTCTTTGGGCTTGTGACGGAGCCCCCAACCCTGTACCCCCATCTGCAGCCAGATGCAATCCTCAGCCAGCCAGCAGGTTAGGTTTATTGCTTCTCACAGATACAGCATAGCTTAGGATCAATGTTAACATAGGAGCCAGGGCAGACAGCCTTATTCCTCTCGGCGGGGAAAGGGCTGCACCCCCTTCCTTAGTCTAAAACATCCTCACTGCTCCTAGCCCAGCTGAGACCAACTCAACTCCCAGCAACTGGTCCCTTAGCCCCCAGGCGGCCACGTCCCTTGCTTTGTTAAAATTCCTCCACCTAGTCAGGCGGCTGGGCCACTTCCTACATGCCTCCCCTCAGGGACCATCCCCCACTGGGCACTGCTCACAGACACACGGTCCACTGGTGGCCCTGGATCCACTCTGGTTTTGCGTTCACTGGTTGCTTTGTTGTGCTGGCTTTACTGCCCTATGCTGGTCTGCAAAGACTCTGTGGCTACGTCTACACTGGCCCCTTTTCCGTAAGGGGCATGCTAATTTTAAACTTCAGAATAGGGAAATCCGCGGGGGATTTAAATATCCCCCGCGGGATTTAAATAAAGATGTCCGCCGCTTTTTTCCGGCTTGGGGAAAAGCCAGAAAAAAGCATCTAGACTGGCCTGATCCTCCGGAATAAAGCCCTATTCCTTTGAAGTAGGAATAAGAGATCCTCCGGAAAAGGGCTTTATTCCGGAGGATCGGGCCAGTCTAGACGCTTTTTTCCAGCTTATCTACAAGCCGGAAAAAAGCGGCGGACATCTTTATTTAAATCCCGCGGGGGATATTTAAATCCCCCGCGGATTTCCCTATTCTGAAGTTTAAAATTAGCATGCCCCTTACGGAAAAGGGGCCAGTGTAGACGTAGCCACAGAGTCTTTGCAGACCAGCATAGGGCAGTAAAGCCAGCACAACAAAGCAACCAGTGAACGCAAAACCAGAGTGGATCCAGGGCCACCAGTGGACAGCACTCCCCCACTAGGTAACAGGGCTCAATTCCAGAATCCTTGTAAGACTGTAACAAAATACAGGACTATGTAGCACTTTAAAGACTAACAAGATGGTTTATTAGATGATGAGCTTTCGTGGATCAGACCCACTTCCTCAGATCAAATAGTGGAAGAAGTGGGTCTGGCCCACGAAAGCTCATCATCTAATAAACCATCTTGTTAGTCTTTAAAGTGCTACATAGTCCTGTATTTTGTTTCAGCTACACCAGACTAACATGGCTACATTTCTATCACTTGTAAGACTGTGGCAGCTTTGTCTCAGAGGCCAAGGAGAACAATTTTTCTCCCTCCTCCTTGTGACACCCTTTAAGATACCTGAAAACTGCTATCATGTCCCTTCTCAATCTTCTCCTTTCTAAACTAAACAAGTCCAATTCTTTCATTCAGTCTTCCTTCATAGGTCATCTTCTCTAGACCTTTAATCATTCTTGTTGCTCTTCTCTGGACCTTCTCCAATTTCTCCACATCTTTCTTCAAATGTGGTGCCCAGAACTGGACACAATACCCCAGTTGAGGCCTAGTTAGCACAGAGTAGAGCGGAAGAATAATTTCTCATGTCTTGCTCACAACACACCTGTTAATGCATCCCAGAATCATGTTTGCTTTTTTTGCAATAGCATCACACAGTTGACTCATTTACCTTGTGGTCCACTATGACCCCTAGATTCCTTTCTGCAGTACTCCTTCCTAAACAGTCACTTCCCATTCTGTATGTGGGAGACTGATTCTTCCTTCCTAAGTGGATTACTTTGCATTTGTCCTTATTAAACTGCACCCTATTTACCTCAAACCATGCCTCCAGTTTGTCCAGATCATTTTGAATTATGACCCTATCCTCCAAAGCAGTTGCAACCTCTCCCAGCTTCGTGTCATCTGCAAACTTAACAAGCATACTCTCTATGCTAATATCTAAATTGTTGATGAAGATATTGTGCCAGTTATGCATCCACCTTATAGTAGTCCCATCTAAGTTGTATTTGCCTAGTTTACTGATAATTAACCAATATTTAATATCCCTACTGAGCTCCTTGCCTGTGCAGAAGCTCTGAGCCTCTGCACAGGGCTCATTAAATGACTGTGTGGTCATGCAGCTGCACAGCTTACAGGAAACTTAGACCATGACCTTTCTTGTTATCAAAAAGAATCTTCCAAAGTTAGCATTTCAATAAGTTTAGTCAGAGCTCATATCAGATCAATGCACATACTGATCAATGCAATCACTCTGGCATAACTGATTATCTAAATAACCATCATTAAGCCAAACATACATCAATAAATGGTTCTAATATTAAAGTACTTGATAGTACATATTTCATATAAAATAGCCCGTAAATGCTTCAGGGCATATACCATGTCTGGTCTGAGGACCACCATGGCAAACATGGTGCTATATAAACAATCTCTAAAAAGATATTTTTCTTGCCCTAAAAAGACAGGAAAATTAAGCTAAGTTAGCCTTTCTCTGTTAAAGTTCATTTTTCTCTTTAACTCAGTAAAAATGAATAAGACAGACACTTGGCAAAGCAAGTTTCTCCTTTAAAGGTTGCAGGTCTCACTTATGAGCTGGTCTCTATTTACAGCAAGTTGCTTATAATTATTAGCTTGCTTCCTAACACACAGTCCAAATCTTACCTGATTGGTGCAGTGGCTCCCTCGGGTCCTTCTAATTCTGACAAAGGAACAAGATCCCATTTAAAGTGCAGACCCCAGTTAAACCCTCCACGCACAACTGGGGAAGAGCTGTAGATAAGCGTGTCAGCACTGATTATGTCAATCACAGGGCACACCACTGTTTTGCGGTCTTCTCTGATTGGAGTCAACAAAGGTTGTAACCACATCTCATTCACTTCACAGTGGCTGTCCAGGAACACCAGCACTTTTCCTAAGACAACCAAAAAAACCCAGATCCATGGTAACACAACATATATACAGAAATTATTTCTATCAGAGGACTGAAAGCATATACAGAGGGAGATATAACACCTGCACTCAGAAATTTGTGGCGTAAAAGCAAAGTGGTGGCAAGATTCTGCTAGTCTTATTCACATTAAGTAGCACCCAACTTCTTGTAAGTGCCATTACTTTGTGTTGCACTATTCACTGCAGTTAGAGATAGGGACCACTGGGAATAAAGGAGCAATCTCCAGGCTAAGTATAAAAAATATTCAGAAATGTTATTTTAGAAGAGAAAGCTGATGTGATATTAGACTCACTGAAGAGAAGTGGGGGAGAACGTCATACATATTGTGAAGAGTTCTATGAACTACATACACACAGGTAAAAAGGAATATTCATGTCAATCTAGAACAGGGGTGGGGAACCTCAGGCCCACGGGCCGGATGTGGCCCCCAGCTTGCCTGGATCCATCCCCCAAGGCCAGGCCTCTCCTGCATTAGGGAGCCTGAGCTGGGGTTCCAGCCCTCTGTTGCCCCACCACAGGGGTAGAATACACAAAACCTACTATGCTGGGCCCCCTTAAACTCTGGTGTGCGAGGGCAACGTAGGGATTGTTTTTCTGCTCCGCAGTCGGGCGCCACGTCAGTGAGAGTTTTTGCGCGAGGCCCCTGACTGATTTTTCTGTGGGTTAGTAGTCTCCGACCCCAAAAAAGTTCTCCACCCCAATCTAGAAACTTCAAAAGAGGTTTGCTTTTGGATCAAGCTATTACAATGCTGACAAGTAACAGATCAATTTAAAAATTATCTTGTAGTACAGTTGTTCAGATCCCAAATAATGAATTCACAATGCACATTAATATAAAACATACCGAGTACACAAAGTACAAATTCATTCTATCTCAATTAACTGCTGTAATGGCATCTGAAATACCACTGGTAAAAAGAAATTCAGTGATGTATGTGAATTAGTAGCTTACTTGAGAGTTTCTGAAGTCCTTAATGAGAAAGCAAAATACCTCACAGTTCAATAGATGTCACTTGAGGCAGAGTATTCTGCATGCATATTATTGAATATGTAATGAGGTTAGGGTTGCCAGGTGTCCGGTTTTGAACTGGACAGTCCGGTATTTGAGCTTTCTGTCCGGGAAACAAATTAAGAAAATACCGGACATATAAATGTCCGGTATTTTCTAATTAAGTAAGTTTTATTGTTATCATGAGTATCAGTACGTAGATGCGTACTGCGTGAGCGTGTCTACCAGCCAGGCTGTACACAGCTACACAGTAGAGAAGGGCAGGGGTGGGGTGGGATGGAATCTCCGGGGCTGGACTCACCCGTGCGCCCCATCAGGACCGTGTACGGGACAGGCAGCACCCTGAGATCTGCGTGCACCCGGGCCAGCCCCACTCCCCGCGTGCCGGTTCCCCCTCCGGCCAGCCCCGCTCCTCCCCCCTCCCCCAACATCTTCCCGGCCAGCCCTGCTTCCCACCAGTCAGTTCCTTCCCCCAATCTCCTCTGGCCAGTCCCACAACCCCCACACCTCTCCCGGCCAGCGCTGCTTCCCGCCAGCCGGTTCCCCATCAGCCCCGCTCACCCTGACCCCCTCTCTATCAGCCCCGCTCCGCTCCTGACCAATCCCCCGTTCCGACCAGCCCCGGTCACCCCAACCCCATATTTTTTTGAAAGCTATCTGGTAACCCTTAATGAGGTGGGCTCTCGGGTGGGAAAGGGAAAATTCTACACTGTTTTACTAAGTTTCATGAACTACTCTTGCTTTTCCCAATCACAGCAAATTAACTTAAGTGAAGTGAGACATTTCTTGCAAAAGTCAACTGACAAGAAGTGATTCCTTGTCTCACGGTTTTAATTTCAGAAGGGTAGCAGCGTTAGTCTGTCTCCTCTGAAGCATTTGCAAAAGCAGTGAGTCCTGTGGCACCTTAAAGACTAACAGATTTATTTAGGCACAAGCTTTCATGAGATATGACTCACTTCTTCAGATGCTTGAAGAGAAAAGAAAAAAGGGAGGGATAAAGCGATGGGAGTGTGATACCAGTGTTAATTAAATCAGAAATGCATCTGGCAAAGTGTTTTTTACTCACAAAAGCGCATGTTACAGGAATCCTTGTTGTTTTTAATTTTTGTAGATTTTAAAAGGTACACCAAAGTCAATTTGGGCCCAAAATGTAAGTTATGTAAAAAGTTTATTGCACACACGGACGGACAAAATACTGACTTCACTTGCACTGTTCAAAGCTGCTGAAATCAATTTAGTTATTTTGAATTTACAGACCAAAGAAGGCAGACTGTAGCCATCACTGCTAAGCACCAATTGATCTTTTTGCCTCTTGTTTCTTGTACAGGGAGTTAACACAAATGACTGGTGCTTAAAAGAGATACAGATGGTGCACATCCTTTCCAGGACACAAGCTGAAAGCTTCACTTTATTTTCTTCATTAGAAAAATTATAACTCTTCCCCACAAGTGACTTATAAGAAAGCTAGTCATTCAGAGCATGTGTGAAACAAAATATCAACACTAGAGATGTGAGCAAGTAGTCGACTACCTGATAAGCCTAGGCCTATTGGGTAATCCAGTCCAGTGTTTCTCAACCTTTTTTTGCTCATGGCCCCCTTCTGAGCCTCGTTTACCTCTGTGGCCCCCTCATAGCCGCTCTTAGTTGGAAAAAAGGTACATATTTTACCTAATGTTCCGCTTTTTCCATGTGGCCCCCTAGAGGTAGGGCATGGCCCCTGGGGAACCATATGGCCCACGGTTGAGAACCACTGGTCCAGTCAACTACTTGCTTCCCCTCCCCTGCTTGCTACCTGTGTATCAGAGGCAGCAATGGGGGGGGGGGGGGGGGCTGGGGGGGGG